GCACGCGTCAGTGATTTCTTCGTGTGATGAGTACTCACATAGTTTTAAAACAAAGAAAATGAATGAAAGATTTTAGGCTTTTTCTTGCCGTAACGTTGTTGATAGAGACATCCATAACACATTTTTTTGCTCTTTGAAAGAAAAGCACATGAATAAAACCATTTTTCAGTTTGGAGGACGACAATCGCGTATGAAGATTTTACAACTTACTATTTCATAATGATAATGCACGATGGTTCTCATGCACAAAAACTTGTGTAAAACACAACGAAAAGATCCGAATCTGCTTAGTTTCATTTTGCTGTTCCCCTTATTGCTTCTGATGTTATACAGATTTTTGTACTCGGGATCCATTGTGCATTTTAACTGGTATCCTTTTTCTCATTTTATCCTATATAGACGATTGCAACAGAAAGGAAGAATGAAAGAATAAACCTCAAAAAATAGTCGCTATATGTAACAGATGGATTAACAGAAATATTTACTCTTTTTTTCGAGTATACTACATATACTCAACTTAAGTTAGGAGTCTATACTGCTAGTGGAAAACAACATACCACATGCGGAAGTTTTATTAAATTATGGAAATATCGAGCACCATTACATGTAAAAAGCTGGAAAGTAAACGAATGAAAATCAGGTCCATATAGCTGTGTTATGCTTCTCTCTTAACACTTTTACTTTTGCTATCTCACCTTATCTTCAGATCCCCATAAAATTACTGTTGGACATTTGATAGTTTTCAGAGTACTGTAGTAATCGTCTAACTTTGGATAATCGAACGATAACAATGCGTTTAACACTACAACAATAATGATTTTAAAACCTATGATATAATTAAATTTTTTCGAGATATGAATGGGGCTTCTTCTCTATGTGATCGATTTGTTCGGGAATTCGATATGCGAGAAGGTGAACTTTCACAAATAGCCTATACTGGTAGAAGCTTTCGTGGTGTTACAATGGAGGAAGATGAATTACAAAAATATAAAAATGCATGTAAAGGGGAAAAAGGCTGTATAATTGCTACAAAAACATTCCAGTCAACATCTAGATCGCGTGATCAAGCATTAGTATTTGCAACAACACATATTAATGGCAAAGGTATTATATTTGTATTTGATATACCTCAAGAATGTTCAACAGTATTTGACCACCCTCACCCTCACCCTCACCCTCACCCTCATCCAATTTTGTCGTGAATAAATGTCATTCATGTACCCTAGGAACTTATACTCATTAAGTTCCGTGGTCTAAAATAGCTGGGACACAGCATCGTCTGACTTGAAAAATCGTTTTTATACATTAAACCACACAACTCATTGTTTCAGTTTGATCTTAATGATCGAAAAGTATTACGTAAGAGAGTGGCTTGTAAAAGGTAAATGATCTTGATAATGCCTCAATAATGAGATCCGTAAAGGTTCAGTTAATCATTGTTTTTAGGTTCTACGCGATATGTTAACGGTTAACGAAGTTATCTGTTGGAATATAAAAGCGTCCATCGAAGCAAAATATCGTTCATTGAAATATTATATACGGACAATGGAGACAGATGCAGTTGAATGTAGAAAAATAATTGAAATGATTCGTTTTTTAACTTTTTAAGCACATCAGAATACAGCAGATATGCAGATTTCTACAGGAATGAACATCTTTTAGTCATATTATACACGAGTCAAACAAAAAACATTTCGAAAAATATAGAATTAAAATAATCATATTGTATAAAAATAATAAAAAATACTTAGTTTGGAAAAAAATTTACTCAATGAAAAGCAACGGCGAAGTCTAATAGTGAAGTAAACAATGCGATTTTTTTCGTGGTTAAGATAGCTAAAAGCGAAAGCCCCTCACCCTTACCGAAACCAAATAATAAGTAACCGTCACAAAAAAATAATGCAAAAACATGTATCTGAATATACTACATTCACAACTTTGCAAAAACTTTACTGGAAATGAAGATAAAATAAATTAAAGTTTTCAAATAAATTCACTAATTGAACAAATTCTATTTTCCAATCGAGCTGTCTCAGCGGCAAACGCAATCACATGACTTCTAAGAGACTCTTGGGGTCCTGTACCAACGAGTGATCGATCATTGCATGCAACGGCTTTAATAAATGAATCCATTGCATAGTAATCAGCTCCTCCATGTCCCGACATTATTCCTGCGTCATTCATGTTTTCTTCTTCGTCATATACGGTGCGATCTCCAGTCAAAAAATCGTCATGAATGATTTTGTTTCGACCTTCCCATTTTAATTCTCCCATCGTTCCGAATAATCTTGTCGTTCTAACACATATTTCTTGTGTAAATGCAACCATGGACAATGTTGCTGTTCCACCATCATCAAAGTTCATCAATACAACTTGTTGATCGACGACATCATTGTTGCAATTCCCATAGACACACTTTCCATAATTTCCATTTTCTAACGCATTTATTACTTTTGTTCTAACTGTATTGTACTTATCATTATCTTCAATATCACAAATAGCTGATACAGGCCATCCAACTGTCATTGAATCGAGATATATTTTTTTTGCTGAATAGGGACATTTATCTTCGACTGAACAATGTAAACAACGATCACCAGCACCCACCGGTTTATTTTCTTTTTTGAAATGCATCAATTTACCAAAACTTGATACTTGTACACATTTTGACGGTTGAAACCAATACTGAATTAAATCCAAATCATGACAACATTTTGCCAATAATGAAAATGTACTTTGCTTAGTATTATGCCAATTTCCTCTTACAAAAGAATGTGCAAAATGAAAATAACCTAAAAATATGAACTTGAATATTACTTTTCACACCCAAAGTTATCTTTGTTTACTTGCCAACAGCTTCGATATGTTGAATATTGATCAATTTACCAATTATATTGTTGTTCAAAAGTTGTTTTATTTTTTTAACAACTGGCAAATATCTTAATACATGACATACAACTAATATTAGGTTCTTTTCTTCACAAAGTTCGACTATACGTATACAATGTTCTAACGATGTAGCCATGGGTTTTTCTAAGAGTATATGATAACCTTTTGATGCGAATGCAATAGTTGCTTCATAATGTTCGATATCAGGTAAGGCAATAAGCACACAATCGGCTATTTTGTTTTCTAATGCTGCCACATGTTGCCAATTGTCATAGACATGTTTATCATCAAGATTAAATCGTTTTTGTAATTTTTTACGAGCTGCTAAACGGTTATCAGCTATTGCAACAATATTGAAACGTTCTGGATAAAAATTTGCATAAGATGAATAAACTGTGCCGCGACTACCACAACCGAGTATAATTCCAGTGACTTGACGAAACGATGACGATACATTTGCTTTCTCACTCATTTTTGTAAAATTAGATTATCTTTCAGATATATCGAATATAAAAATAATAAAAGTTGATATCAAAACAAATAGGATCTATAAACAGGTCTCGGTATACATTCTAACTTCACTTCAGAATACGATCACTAATCCACACTGTGTACAGCGGAGATCTTACGGCTCGGGTGAGCAAATTAAAAAGGTGAAGAATACTGAAAACAAAGATGAAAAAGAACTTAGTGAAGATTGGCGCATTGTTTACGAAGAGCTCCATTTCTCAAAAAACTTTGACGAATGAAAGTTGAAGTAGATAACAATTTTAGGATAAGTCAAATTGACCGCAGAAAACGATTTTCTTAATAATAGAATGAATCTCATTTAATCTTTTGTTTCTGTCAAACCTATGACTAACACATTGTGACTGCTTAGAGCGAGAGAGATAGAAAGAGAGAGAGAGATTCTAAAAATGTCGAACCAATATTTTCACTTGAACTACCGATTGGTAGATTTGGACCAATCGAGCATGCTCTGTAAGAAATCGACTCTATCAGACTTTTACACACGTAAGTTTGTTTTTTATTGATCTCCTGGTCGAAAAGAATCAGGCTGTGAAGCATTTCACTTCTGATCTCTAACTCTTTGCATCCATAATCGTAACGAAAACCAAGAGTAAGACACTTCTGTTGTATATGATCACAAAAGCATCGACTTTACTATTTACGTGTGTTTGGAGTCAACTTATTTTGAAAAGAACAACAAGAGTGTTAGTATGATTCAAGTATTTTCTCTACTATTTCTCTACGATCACTGAGAAAAAAAGAGCATTTTGTTCTTTCGCCATTGTGTGAGCTAAGAGGGGTTAGACAAGCGTTCGGTCAGATTCAGAATTTCTCATCTTGTCTGAGGACGAGTACGATTTTAAAAGCACAGTCGTCAGTATGCTTTGCTTTTATTTATTTCGAAAGTACATTTTCATATCATTTTTCCTAATAATTTGTTTTATTTATAGAAATTTATCACTGACAATGGAAAAGAAAGTAATTGATCAAATAATTCAAGTAACTAATGACGTTTACGGGAAGTATGATTCATCAAAATGGGTACCAAAATCTTATACCGATAATAAAAGTCGATATTTATGGACAGATGCATTTGGTGTCTGTAATTATTTAACATTATATCATGAAACTAATGATCAACAGTATCTTCAACAAGCAGATTTACTCATAAAAAACGTTCATGATACACTTGGCTATGAAAGAACAAGACAAAAGCGTCTTGATTCAGCCACAGAAGAACATCCAACAAAAGGTGGTCTAAGAATTGGTAAAATTGATGAAGAAGGTACACATGATGGCGATGGTCAATATTTTCATTATCTGACTAAATGGGCATTTGCTTTGAGTCGTATGTCAATAGCAAAAAAAGATCCTCAATATAATGATTGGGCTATCGAGTTAATTAAAGTGATACATCCTCGATTTGTTTATGATATCGACACCGAACATCCTCATATGTATTGGAAAATGAGAATTGATCTGAAAAAACCTGATGTGTTGTCAGAAGGCAATCTTGATCCATATGATGGCTTTATCACGTATCGTTTAGTTCAAGAAGTAGCATCTGCTGATAAAAAATATTTATTAGACCAAGAAATCAAAGATATGAGAAAAATGGTGGAAAAAAAATATGGTCGATATCGCAGTAACGATCCACTCGATTTGGGTGAAGCACTCTGGATTACGCACTGGTATCCGGAAGAAGAATGGGCAAAAGCAATTACAGCAGAATCATTGAAATCATTAGAACGTTTATATCAACAAGGTTATTTTGATGAAAAAAAAGCAGGTTATAGATTAGCATTCAGAGAATTTGGGTACGTATATGTTTATCTTTTGTAAATTATCAAAGGTGATCAGGACTCTCACGTTCAGGAAGAAATTGTTTCCTTGTTAGAAGGATTAAAGTTTTGGCGAATAGTGACTGAAAAGACCCAGTGACGAGCGACGATAGAAATTCTTTATTCTACAAATGAGAAGAGAAAAATTTTTCGCAGTGCGAAACCGAATTTTATCGCAGAGTTATGAATAAAAAAATGTTGCAGTTCCATTCAAATGAACAAAGATTTTCAGTGACAATTAGAGGCATATATTAGCTAAGAAATCGAGCAGACCTGGCTAAAAAAAACTCTTGTGAGACATAAAGACACTAACATTTGCTCAGAAACTTAACACAAAAATTTCACAAGGTTTTCTTTACCGGTAAACGTTTATTCAGCTGTGAAAATTCTGGCAAAAAATAAAAATCCAGGGAAGAGATGCTTCTCGGCCCATCCTGAGATCACTGAGCATGATTACTACATGAATTTAAAGACACAGAGCACAAGAGCAATCTTCAGGTAAAAACTCGTAGACTATCATGTATCGCCTCTATTCTCTTTTTTAGGACAACAATTGGCGTTCAAGTCTGCCATCCTCCGGCTCCTAGCGTATGGAAAGAACGTGTACAGCAGCTTCATAGTTTCTGGTTCTCTCATCTATACAAGAGGGACCAAGACATTACACCGATCATGTTTTGTACCAGTCTGAATCCAGGTAAGAATCTACTAATTTGTATCTTGCAAAAGATTCTACACTTGTACGTTTTTAGGCGTATTCTGGAGAAATTATCCACCATTATTAAAGTAGACAAAAAATCATGTACAACCCATATTACTATTCAAGCGATGATACTAAATTAATCATATTCACTGAAAGTTTGATGGACAGGAAACTACTAAATGTGACGTTTGGAACAGAAATCAAGCAAGCCGTATTAAATTTAAATGCTTTTTTGGACGAACTCGGCTATAAATTTCATAGCCTGAAACACTATAATGAGCTTTTACATTAAGGGATTATTCAATCTTTTAAAATATTTGTACTGACTGATAAAAAACTATATTTTTTATTGTGTTGTCAGCTATCTGCATTAAAATGAAGTAGACAAAGATAAACCGCTACGGTATCTGATACTTTTACTCAGCGTCTTTTACGAATAAAGCAGAATATACTATTATATAGAAGAAACATTCATGCATGGCCAACTTTAAATGTCTGTTGTAGTTAAGGCAAAATAGCTACGATCGGCTTTATTATTTCCATTTTTTCACCATGAAGAAATGTATGTGGCTGCATGTTATAGAGCAAAAGAATGTTCGTATAAAACTGAAATTGTTTCCATATGTGCGCACATTTTTCTTCGGACAAGAACATCTGAATATTTCCATTCCGCTATAAAATGGATGCCGAAAGTTCAAGATAGTTTGCCTTGTGAACCTTTTTTCTTAACTATACAAAGATCCAGGGAGCAATACACATAGTCCTCGCTCGTGTCTACATACGCTAGAAGTTTCATTGATGCATGTATTGTATGTCAACAACCTGTGGAAAAAAACGAATTTTCCTCGGTAAGTAAAATTTTAGGATATTTGTGCTCCACTCGCCTTAATTTTGCCAATCAAGCAGTCTAAAATAAATTCGGCCTATGAAACATATTTTTTAGCTTTTTGCGTTGATAATAGACGAAAAACAATCTACACCTGGGCAATATTGTCTAGTATTTATGATATAGTTTTGAGGTCAATTGGATCAAGTTATCGAGGGATCATAATGTGACTGAATTGAAGAGGCTGTTGAAAAAACACATTTTGTACATATGTCGTTTTCTTCATAGAATTTGCGGCGACGCTTATACTTCCACGAAAAATCATCAGGAAATTTTGGAAGACGTCTCATTGTGAAGACAATATTTTCTTCAATCAGACTGTGTATAAGAAAAAATTTTGATTGTACAGTAACGCTAATCTGCCCTCGCTCGGTCCCTTGACTTTAGGGACTTAAATCTGCGAACGATCTTTCATAACTTTCGAATCCAAAACAACGCTCACGCCTCGCTTTGATCGACGCTCCCTAGGGGGCTATTAATATATGCTATGAATTTTTCTCTGATTTCATGTGTAAGCTTTCTAATATAATGTAAACCTAAAAGGATTTCTAGAAACTCTCCAGAGCTCTAAAAAGATTTCTGAATTCAAGACAATGATGTATAGAATATAGAGAAAAAAATATTCTAGGGCACCTTGACATTCTTGTAACTTAAGATCATATTCCATCAAGTTAAGACAAACAGGGTAGGTAAGTGCAAGTAGTCCAAGATTTCCTCATAAATTTGACCTTGACTTGGATGTGAAATTTGACACCGAACAATATTTAAGAAACTGATAAAGGAAAAAAGAAAGAAAGGAAAATAAAAAACTGTATAGGTTGTAAAAGAAAGCCATATGTATGAAGAAAATCATAGCCTTACTATATGGAGACTGAAGGTAGTGATTGAGTTAAAGTTTCTGAGTGAGCGCGGGAACAACATCTGAAATGTGTCAAGTAACACACTTTAAATAAAAAGAATTCGCATGGAACAGAACAGAATAGGACAGAAGCTCGTTAAAAGAAGAAGCAGGAGCTACTAGAATTATCTTTGTGTCTTTTCGTAACTATTAATCAAATTAAATAGCTTGTCCATCGCTATTACATGACAGACGCCACTACGATTAGAACATTTTTCGTTTGAAAAACAATTTGTCGTCAATGTTCTTTTTTGCAGATAATGTATCCATAAAACTAATATTTATGCTTTTTTTATAAACTATTATGTCCCATAGGGTTAATTATTTTGGTGATGAAAAAAATACAAAGCAATGCTCTTGTGTATTGTACCTTGTTATACAAGGTTTCACACGGTATATAGGCATGAATATTTCATATCAACCAAGATATAATACTCTTAATCTCCATGATCTGAAAAGTCCCAAGCACATATCAGCTATAGCTGGAAGATATATGACTAGATATAGTTCGTAAGATATCTAGTAAGGATATGTGGTTCTGTGTCAACGCGGAAACAAGATGTAATTATATTTAGTTAAAAAATAAAAAATACGACAATTGACAAAAGGAAGCAAACAACCCTACGTGTACTAATATCAAATGTTAATTTTTACCATTTTTTTTGTTTGTTGCGTGCACTGATGCATATCGTAATCATAGCAAACGTTGTAATATTTTAGCTAAATTTGTCTTTATCATTACATATTTGATAGTGAATCGAATACCGCTATATAGTGGTAAATCACAATAATAATATACAAAACAACCTTCATTTAATAGTATTTTGCCGAGTATTTGTCCAAATATGTAGTAGATAGCGATATAAGAAAATGAGCAAATATTTGACTACAATTATGAATTTGTTTTGTTAACGCTGACAATAGAGATGGATCGGTTACACCTGTGGAAAATTTTACTTGTGGCAGGGATAATATTGTCCCTTATTGCATTCATTCTCGGTAAAGTAAATAGAATCTAGAGATAAGTGAGATGTTTGGTGTGAATTAGAACACATCGACCCTGATAAGGTGAAAGCATATGATAGGGAATTCATCGCATATCTTAGCAGAACACTTTTACATTATGTTATAAGTTAACTTTCTTCCTATTTTGGATCTCTTCTTATAGCTTGAAGTTTACTAAGATCTATTATTTATGAAAAACTTTTTTATAACACATACCTAACACAGTTTTTCCAACAGGTGAGGCATCAAATTTTTTTTTCTCTACTATATCTAATCTACGACGATACGCTTATACTGAAGAAGTTTAAAGTAGATAAATGTTATGACTCGTTGCAGAACAAGCAAAACTGATAATGATCAGAACAAATAATTCAAATAACTTTCTATTGAAATATAGGTTGGATTGGCTTTGGCGTTCCAGATTGGCAAGCTTTTTATCGGTACAGTGGAGGTACTCAAGAATATTATGGATTATGGGCATATTGTCAGAATCAAAAACCATTGTTTAACAGTGTAAGTGACTAAGTTAAAAGGATCTTATTTCATTTTTTATCATTAATATTGCTTCAGGTATGTCAAAGATGGCACTCTGCTGAACAAACATTATTTAATGGAAGTCGACCTCAATTTGTTCGATCAGCTGAAGGTTTAATAACAACAGGAATGATACTATTAACATTTGGATTAGTTGCTGCAATTGTCGCTGCATTATTGCCATTATTAGCTTATGTTGCGGCTGTATTAGCTCTGTTAGCTTTTATATTTCTCGTTATTGGTATGTGTTATTTTGACAATAAGAACATTTCTGTGGTGTTTTTTCTATGCCTGACGATTATATCTTGACTTTAATGTTCTGGTAATGCTGTTAATTTAATTCAAAAAACTGTGAATAGCTTGTGTTTGAAAGTGTATGAAGAGATTGGAGTGTCGAAGTCACATTACTATACACGAGAATTTTCGAATCTGTTATTTATCCTAGAACGTAATGCCGGAAAATTGAAAGACTTAGTTTTATTTTCTCAAAACGCTTGTCTAAACTGCAGACGTTTTGATTTCTGGATTACTTTTTTTCGAGTCACTTTGAATAGCAATAAGTAATAATGTGATTAGTGTTAGCGAGATCCCATAGTAAAGTATGTGATCATTGGCAGTTATTTTCAAAAAGACATATTTGCCCTGTACTTTTTACAAGTATTTCTCTAAGGTTGCATTCAAGTACTTACAAGTAAAGTTTACTTCGAGAATAAACGCAAGCACTAGCTTCATTACGCAAGGAAGCGAAGTATTTATCCCAAATACATTCACTAAGGTATTCACTCAATTTAACTGTTTCTCGAATCTATTTTTTTAGGACTTCCAATATTCGCAAGATCAGCAAATAATTTATCTAGAAATCGAGGTGATTACGAATGGAATCACCGCTATGGTTTATGGCTAATTGTGCCAACGATCGTACTAGAATTTTTAGCTATGGTCTTATGGGCATTAGCTGCTCTTCTGTATCAAATGTTTGGCTACGGAACCATCGTGACAGGATCGTTGAACAAGTCGAGAATGATACAAGGACAAGGCGGTAGTGGATCCGGACAACCAATGTTTGGAGGTGGTGGGCTGTACTCGATGAGGGCTCCATATAATGCTTTGGGAGGTAAGTTTCAGATATTCTATACAAAAAAGTCTTGTATATTATCGGGTGCGCCATAATAAATTAGGCTCTCAGTATTTTCTATTTTTCTCGTGTTTTTTAAGACCCTAAGGTTAATGTTTTCCTTAAAAGATGCGCCGCGAAATGCTCTACAAAACCATATCTAAACTTTAATTTCAGAGCTTCAATCAAGAAAACTACCCAAATTAGACGAAAGGCGAAAAAAATGAAAACTCTCTAAACTCAAAAACGATTTCTTGTGTTGACGATTTGAAAGTAAGAAAACCTGAACCAGCCATTTTATAGCCCTGACTTCCCTCTATCTTTTAGCTACACCTCACATTTTGTCACATCAAAACCCATGGAGAAATAATCATTTTTCTATCGGTTGTCACGTATTTTTTCATTAATTTTTTAAATTCTGAGCTTTCAGTGAAAGTCCGATATCTCTATCAAAACAAAAGATTTCTCGATCGGGTTTGTTTTGTTTTGATCAAAAATGATTGCGCTTCTCCATCTAACTGTAAAATCAAAACTTCGATCATGTTTTCCATTTCTTGCTTGGGCACATTGTTGTCAATTTGTGACGCATTTTCGAAACTTCATTCTCCAACACACCATCTGCTCTTTTTTTTTACAGACCGCGAGAAAGAGCACATTCAAAAGTACAAAAAGAACTCAGTTCTCACTTTTGCTACACTTTTTTCGGAAATAATAGCAAAAGAAAAAAGTTCAAGTCGAAAAAAATACCAAATTTAGAAAGTTTACATTTTTTCCGCCTTTTGTACAATTTGCTTAGCTTTCTTGATTGAAGTTCTAAAATTATAAGTTTCGATACAGTTTTGTAGAGCATTTCGCGGCGCATCTTTCAATGAAAACACTAACCTTAGGGTCTTAAAGAAACACGAGAAAAACAGAAATACTGAGAGACTTATTCATTATGATGCACCTGATACATACTCAGTAAAATTCGAACAAGGGCTATGGCAGTATGTTTACTTCACAATTTATATCGTCGTCTTGACTCTTCCTCAATATTGGTAAATTTATAATTTGTTTGCAGGTCTCCCAATGCGACCTCCGCCCGCCTTATTATCACAATATATGGCACAACGACCCCCACAATACTATCGTCCTATGGGCGTAGAGTCGCTTAGTCAGAATGTACCATACGTTGCTTTACCAGTAGTGGTGGGTGCCCAGTCCTCCGTGCTGCCACAACCATCCATCGTTCGCGCCGCTTTCGGACCACTTATGCAAACAACTACTCCCGCTTATATTAGACCTATTGTAAATTTAACAGGTCAAACTATTGTATCACCGCCACGAGTTACAGCTGCTGTCATTGCACAACAGAGTATTCCTGGTACATACGTGATAGCACCTGGTCTGGATCAACCAATCAAAATGATCGATATGCTTCCAATGGCAAATTAAAAAGCTTTCTAATGATGATTTAGTCTTTTAACTTCTTTAACCTCATAGCTCAGGAATAGTATATATAAAAATAAAATTAATATTTGATCGTACAAATATAGGATAAAACTGGGATACTATAACAATTCAGGACGAAAATTATATTCACTATTTTCAGGCGACAAATTTTTATTCTGTCTTAACAGTTTATATCATCTGATGGGCCTTGGAAGTAAAGATACGAACAAGAACTTTTATGCTTTTCTATAATATTACCTAATTCAATTTTTAAAAATAAGTTTTTTTGTTTCTAATATCGTAAACAACACACAAAAAACTCGTATAATTAATTAAATACTAAGTTTCAAGGGTATATCCCATTTTTTCACCTTGCCGGCAAGGTAGTCGCAAAGGTGTGACCAATTTCAAATTTGTACCAGACACAGAATATTGAAAAAGAAAATCAATGTATTTTGTCCAGAATTTTCTCATATGATCTTCCATGGTTTTTTTAAAAAACTTTGGTTTTCATTAGAGATTAGATTTCATTACAGTTTCTTCAGTCTCTTAAACAAAAACTTCTCGCTCCCTAATACACATCCATACTTTGCCAGTTTGTAGAGAACATCTTCAGGGGTATAGATGTGCGATAACTCGGATCTCAGATGGGTATTGAAGGAGTAGTGAAATTTTTAAGATAAAAAAAAAATCAATTTTCTCAGCGATTTGCAAATTGACAAACACGTCTCGTGAACGAAGGATTAGGAAAAGTTTATGTTAGTACAAAAGTTGTTGTTATAGTGATCTTCACTGGGTGACATTTTTTTTAAGAAAATCAGTTTGAAGATCGTGTTTTCTGTGTGTTCAGCTGTCATTTTCTGTTCAAGTTGGGAGAAGTTCAACCAACCCCTCAGTTCAGTCAACAGTTCAACAAGGCATGCAAGAACACATTACTAAAGTATTTTCTAGCAGCGTTTTTCAGTAAGTAATCCTACATTTTTCGAACAACTTGCGTCAGACTTCTAATGGCTTTGCAAAGTCCCATGTTGTCGAAACCGAACGAAAGCCGGCGGTTAACCACGGTTATTTTAAGAACCGACGGTTAACCTCACAATTAAGCGGAAAAACGGTCGGTTAATCGCGGCTCGGCTAACCGACCATTTTTCCGGTGAATTGTGAGGTTAACCATCGGTTTCGTTGCTGTGTTGTTATGGTTTCAGCTGAAATAACTTCGGTTAACCATCGGTTCTTAAAATAATCGTAGTTAACCGCCAGTTTTCGTTCGGTTTCGACAACATGGGACTGTATATAACCTTGGGCGGTGAAAATAGCGGATGAAGACAACAACTATCGCTTAATCTCCTCCCGTCTTGCATTGAGACCAATCTTAAACAACAATTCAACTAAACGTGTCTGAAGAATTCTCCGTTGTGTATTGTTGTGTGTATCTGTCGATCTATTCTGTAGCTTGATGACAAGCTATATTCCTGGTCACACTAATCCTTAACAATAGCACGTAGGGTGTTATTTTGAACATTAAGTGACGTTAACCTTGACACGGGTTAACACTTCAAAACGGGAGTAAAGTGAGACCTCGATTTTCTACAGTTATAAATTATATATTATAAATTTTTAGTTTTCGGTTATCACAGGGTATCCACGGATGCCACAAGTCTTTTGTTCCTTTTTGTGATATCCTGCACTATTGGATTTCCGATGAGCCAGGACTGACACCCAGTGACTCTTGGTAGTCTTAAAGACAGATGGACTATGGATAATCGACCATGCTAAGTCTTGTGGCAATATTTGTTTCTAGAGAAAGTTTTAAAAATCTACCGAAAAATCAGTTTTACGAAAATTAGGATTTTCAGGCTGTTTTCACCTAATATTAAAAAATTCACTATTCGCTCAAAAAATATCAAAACAAGCTCGAAACCTCAGAATATGATTAGTGTTGTTCACTAAACATGATGATGATGATGAACATCGAAAAAATCGAAAGCCACATTTTTGTTAATAGGTTTTCCAGAAATCCTTTTGGAAAATCTCAGAGTTTTCTAAAATTTATTTCGTGATCTTCCATAAACAGGATGTGGAATAGCTAAAATACTCTACATTTTGAAGTTTTGAACTCGTTCTGATGTTTTTTGAGTGAATAGTGAATTTTTTAATATTAGGTGAAAACAGCCTGAAAACCCTAATTCGTAAAACATTTTCGTAAAACTGACTTCTCGGTAGATTTTTAAAACTTTCTCTAAAGACAAATATTGCCACAAGACTCAACATGGTCGATTATCCATAGTCCATCTGTCTTTAAGACTACCAAGAGCTACCGAGTGTCAGCCCTGGGACTCGTCGGAAATCCAATACAGCGTCCGAACCGCAGAAAATCAAGGTCTCACTTTACTCCCATTGTGAAGAGAACACTCCAAACTATCAGCCTATGAAAAGAAATCAATACATGCCTATATGAATTTCGGAAAGCTCAAGCTAGTTTTCCAAAGATTCTGTGACAAACCCGCTTCAGAAATTTTTCCGAATTCGCTTTTGCTTACAGAAATATATGGTCAGGTGTCTTCTTTTCAATGCTGAAAACCGCAGGTCCCTGTCACACTCCCATCAAAACTTATTCAAAAAATGGCCACTGGCCTTGTATTTTGGCGCCGATAGTAGAAGAAAATATAATACAGATCACTATGTGCAAACAAAAGAAGAAAATAACACCTCGCAGTGAAGTCTCCTGCCGAGGCTTCAGAGCTCCAATATAGTATTCTACTAACTTCGTGGAATGTACCTGTTTTATCACCTTTGGGCTTCACATGGACCCCAGATAGACAACAAGCGTTCACGTGTACTTCGGCATCGTTTATCACATTAACAACGAATGACAACAACTGACTGATGTTATCAGCTTACTCTACTACCCATCACTGAGGCATATGAATACCTACCTGGAGTCCAGATGGACACCAGGTGTTCGTGTCAGGGTTAAGCAAATAAAATGATCTTAATATCTCATTAAATGCGCGAAGTAGTTATGTATTGCTTGCGAGTTTATAAATTATTCATCATGCCTCTATTTTCAGTTTCTCATCGTCTTAGAACTGCCGTCGCTCATTGGTCCTAATTTTGGCGTATAGTATATTTAATATGGTAGCTAACGTAGTATTGAGAAAAGAATAAAAAGATGAGCTTAAATAGGCAAGGTAACACTCGCTCGGTCCGTTGACTTTAGGAACTTATATCTGCGAATTATTACGACCTTCCATGATAATGGTGTGACCTTAGATGAATTGTCTGATGAGGCACTGAAAAGTTGCCATAAGGATATAAGAAATTAGAAAATTCCTGGCACGCAAAACCGGACATATTCCTAAGATAACTGATTATTTATTCGGTCTGATCGATTATTTATCAAAGATTCATATTCAAAAAGAGAAAACTGTAGTGATCACATGTCTGCACGAGGATGGCAGTATAATTAAATATTAGATATTACAACAACAGTAGATTCTCGTTTTTTCGACTGATTTTAGTTGGGACTATTGCGTTTTCTCAAACTGCCTTTATAACCCCATTAACAACAGACTTAATCAATCAGACATAAACCATGTCTATTAACAGTGAAATTAATTTTCTCTTGTCTCGGTTCCATCACTTATTTTTTAATCTGTTGCCGTTGATTCAGTTACATACTTTCTGACTTGTTTAACTTCACTCGATTTATTTGTTATCTGACTGATACTGTTGAAATCATATAGTAAAAATTACTAAAAATCCTTTGTTTTCAGAAACCTTCCCAAAAATCGTCTCATGAAATTTTTTGACCTCCATTGATTAGAGCACATTCGGATCGTACTATAGTGCTATTCGCTCAAATTTGAGCGGAAACTAGCTCTGATTAGAATCACTGAATATATGGAAAGAAAATTAGGTTCTCGCTTGGATTCCATTAAGTTTCGTTTAGAAATGATTTGTTTAATGTATTTCATAACAGTAAACGCTTTTTTATTTCCATAGCAAATTTACAAACGTTATGATTAGATCTTGATTAATATTTAAACTGCGCAGAAAGTCATAGATATCTCTAATAAACAGTACACGCTATTTGCTAACACTCGCGAGAGAGCGCCACTAACAAGTACTGCATTAGGAGAAAGTGCTGCTCGCTTTGAAATACAATTTTCATAGAATAAAATAATATTTTCAATATCATCATGTTGTAGTCGGAAGCAGAATGGAATTCCTAGTGCCATTCAGCAATTATTTGTATTGAGGCAGTTTCATGGCAAGAGAAGAGAAGAGAGATAAATCCATTCATCTGTGCGTGAAAAAATGACATCTCGTTGGCAACAATAGAAATAATAAATAAACAAACGGAGCAGTTTAAAATGAAATAAACAAAAGAACCAAAGAAAGTATACATCCTAATACTAAAAAATGTTGATTCTTTTACTCCCTTCTGAAAACTTCCCGTTGAATGAAAAATTGTAAAGGCAATAAGAGTTAATTCTATGCATCAATCAGTTGCTGTACTAGAATCACTTCGTTCAGGAAAACATTAGATATTTGAAGGTATGCTTGACTTGGAATTTTTTGTACTGATCAAAAACGACAAATTGTATCAGTTATGATACAACGGTATGTGATCATATAATTAATAGGAAAGCAATGTGATCATTTCTGTGCACTTTTTCATTTTTGAGCCACCAAAATTCATTGGATGAAAGTTCGGAGTTGGAACCAAAATAAAATGATTTTATCTCCTGTTTTCAGTTTTATCGGCTCTACTATATGTACGGAGATATTCACAAAAAAACAGTGCCCTCTATAGTGTAGAATAGTGGATATCTCCGTACATGTTATGTAGTAGATCCGAATAAACTGAAAACTGGAGATGAAATCTCATTTTATTTTGGTTCAAACTCCAAACTTTCATCCAATGAATTTTGGTAGCTCAAAAACGAAAAAGTGCACGAAATAAAAACATTTTATTTTGTCTCAGTCCACGTGCCAACAGTGGCGGATTTAGAATTTTTGTTGGGCACGTACGCGGCGGCACATAATTAAAGTATCAGATGCGTGCAATCATAACTTTTTCTGCTGAGAAAGAATAACTTTTTTGTTCGAAATGTATGTACACGTGCAGCAGTACATACACGCGCGGCACGACAGTTGGATCTACCACTGTTCACATAGTTTCCGGTGTTTATAACTGACTAAAGCCTTATATAAAAACAAAAATGTTGAAGAACAAAAAAACTTTTTATAGTTTTGATTTTTGCTATTTTCTTTTTCTTTCGTTCTCTTAATGTACAAGATAAACAGACGAGTTATTATCTTTAGACTGTAGCTGGTATAACAAAACAGGTCAGAGTATTATGAAGAAAAACATGAGCGCGTACGCGATTTTTGTTGACTGCGTACGAAAAAAAATATTTTTTTTATCTTTCCTTATGACTTTTGTTTAGATCATTCACTCACTGTCTGTACATTTATATGTTGTGTACCTATATAGTAGATATTGCACTTCGACATTTCTGGTTTTCCTTTTGATTTTGTGTTTTTTTCTATCGAATATAATCACATTTATTTTCTTATAGTAGAAAAAAAGGATAACCACGTCACTGATATATTGACAAATCTTTTTCCATGTCTGGAATGTTAGATCAATTAAATCAGATGTTAAGGTAAAAAGGTGTTTTCCGCATTAAGTATGAGTCAAATCTATTTATCTTGCGATATTTTTTTCTTTTTCTCTTATTTGTGTTCACGTGTTTTTTGTCTGATAGTGGTAGTAGGAAGATACTATTCTGTTACTCTGAATAATCTAGAACCTTTCGAAGACATTGGTTTTTTTTTATTAAAGTAACGTTGTTTTGTGGTTAAGATACAAAAAATATGTTTACTTTAACGATCACTATTTTCGATTTTTGTGTTATTCATATTGAACAGAATGTTAAACTGAAAAAACACGGAAAAATGATTCAATCGTTAGGATCATTTATATTTTTCTCATAAATACATACGGCAGTACAACATAAATGAAGGTGTTGAGTAGGGTTTCTAACAATGAACATATCTGTGAAATTTCAAGAATCTTATGAAGATCTTTGTGTATCAGGATGCTTTTTAAAAATTATGAGAAAAGTTTTACTGACTTTCAAAACGAATGAAAAAAAGTTGTTCGACGTATATCAAATAGTTCTTGTTGATATTAAAATTTGAGTGATGTGAAACTTCCATCTTAATGGAAGTTTTTTGTTTAAAAATTCTGTTATTGTTTTATTTCAGAATGGAGTCAAATGTAATTGATAATGTTAAAGTTCCACAATTAGATAATTTATTGAAATTAGATCCCTATTTGGCACCTTATCAACGAGAAATAAAACGACGGTAAGAAGTACTGAAAATAGTTTCTTTTGGAAAAAGTAATTGTTGTTTGTCTATTGTAGTTATCATGTATTTGAAACAATGTTGAAAACTCTTGATGCGGAGGAAGGTGGTCTAGAACAATTTACATTAGGGTATACTCATTTTGGTATTCATGTTGATTGCACAAATAATGATATAAAAGTTAAAGAATGGGTACCGGCAGCGAGAGCGGTCTTTATTCGTGGTGATTTCAGTAAGTTTTGCTATTTTTGTTGTTTGGGTTATCATTTCTTTAAAAACTCAACTATTTCAGATGGATGGCAAGAAAAACAATATCCATTAAGACGCAATGAATTTGGTGTGTGGGAAATAACTATACCAGCTCTAAGTGATGGATCAACAGCAATAAAACATAATTCAGCAATCAAAGTACGGAATTAACAGAGCCATTTCGTGCTCAATCATTAACTGCGTTTGAATTATTCTTTTTAGTTGCTTGTTGAAACGCATGATGGTCGTCTACTAGATCGTCTATGTCCATGGTCGAGATACGTCTTTCGTGCACCGGAAGCGAACACTTATCATGGTGTATTCTATAATCCACCAGCAGATCAGGTAAAATGAACGAAAAAGTATTTATTGAAAAAACTTACACGCATATTTTTTCTTTAATAGATTTATAAATTTAAACATGCGCAACCAAAGAAGAAAGAACGTTTGAAAATATATGAAGCACACATTGGAATTAGCTCATGGGAAGGAAAAATAGCCACCTATGATAATTTTCGTCAAAATGTAATACCAAGAATTGTCAAACAAGGTTTGAAAGCATAGTTTCGGTGGAATATGTTAAAACGATTGATATGGATATATTTATTCATTTTAGGATACAATACTATTCAATTGATGGCAGTTATGGAGCATGCTTATTATGCTAGTTTTGGTTATCAAGTAACAAGCTTTTTTGCAGCATCTAGGTATGTTTGTAGTTTATGTACGTTTTTTTATTATTTCATATAATTTTTGTATCTGTTTTAGTCGGTTTGGAACACCAGAAGAATTGAAAGCACTTATCGATGAAGCTCATAAACACGATTTGACTGTTTTACTTGATTTAGTACATAGTCATGCATGTAAAAATACAGCCGATGGTTTAAATCAATTTGATGGCACAAATGGATGTTATTTTCATGATAATGAACGAGGTTTTCATAATCTATGGGATAGTAGATGTTTCAATTATTCAGCGTAACTTGATAAATGTTCTTCGTCTAAATTATTCAATTTAAATTATATTTGTTTCTTATTTGTTTAGACGTGAAGTACAACGCTTTTTATTATCAAATATACGCTTTTGGTTAGAAGAATATAAATTCGATGGCTTTCGTTTCGATGGTGTATCATCAATGCTATATCATACACATGGAATTGGTATGTTTACAATTGTTTTTCAGAATAGAAAACTACATCGTTTCAGTTTTTTTTTGTTTTAAATAGGGCATGCGTTTTCTGGAACGTATGATGAATATTTTGGTTTGGTAACAGATACGGAATCATTTAATTATTTACAATTAGCTAATCACATTTCTCATACAATGTTTCCAGAATCTATAACAATAGCTGAAGTAAATACGAACGTTTTATGTTTAGATAGTAGATATATTTTCATTTTTTAATAGGAAGTGTCTGGTATGCCAACACTTTGTCGACCAATTGCAGAAGGTGGCGGTGGGTTTGATTATCGTTTGGCTATGGCTATACCGGACGTCTGGATTAAGGTTAGTTATATAATCAAATATGTTAGATGGAAGTTTTGGATGAACTATTTTAATCAAAACGGATGCTCTAATTAGCTCTAATTATCCTACTATAAATAACATTTTTTCAGAAAAAATTCGCCCCGCTCCGAAGACGGAAATGTTTTTTCGAACGTTAGTTGCTGATTGAGGAGTAGACCACATCCAATCATTGAACCGATTATCATTTCTGGCTATAAATATCGCTTCTCATTGGATAGACAGACTGCCATTTAAAATGTGAATTATTATTCGAGTCAGAACCGCGGCTATATAGAGAGTATAGGGGAGTGCATACTCTCTCTGATTTTTGGATTTCTTAATTTCTCCTGCTAATAACCATCCTCCCAACAACTTTTCTGAGACTCAAAACACATTTTACTTTTCTTCCAAAACATGTTGACCTTCTTCCAAAAATTGACACTCCTGCTTTTTTCTCTCGTCACGGCACTAATCAGAGTTACAATGAAATTAGAATCATCCATTAATTAATATATGTTTTTATAAATTATTTTCTCTCTCTGAATGGTCAAACATCTATTTCAGCTTTTAAAAGAAACAAAAGATGAAAACTGGCATGTTGGCAACATAACATGGACTTTGATAAATCGTCGTTGGTCAGAAAAAAGTATTGCGTATTCTGAAAGTCACGATCAAGCATTAGTAGGAGATAAAACAATCGCACATTGGTTAATGGATACAGAAATCTATTCAAATATGACTGTGTTTGCACCTCGTACACCAGTCGTTGAACGTGGATTAGCATTACACAAATTAATACGTTTACTGACATATGGTTTGGGTGGTGAAGGTTGGCTCAACTTTGAAGGTAAATTATACGGGCTTATTTAGAATGTTTTTTAATCATTTGTTTTTATTCGTCAGGTAATGAATTTGGACATCCTGAATGGCTGGATTTTCCACGTGAAGGAAATAATAACAGTTATCATTATGCAAGAAGATTATTTTATTTGCCCGATGATGAAACGTTGCGTTATAAATATTTGAATGCGTGGGATCGTGCGATGAACGACGCAGAAGAGAAATATCAATGGTTATCAGCAACGAATACAGTACTATTTATGTTTATTATTTTTATACTGGATATTATTTAAGATGAATACTCTTGTTTTTTTTCAGCATTTAAGTAGACGACACGAGGATGATAAAGTTGTGGTATTTGAACGTGGAAAACACGGATTATTATGGATATTTAATTTTCATTCATCAAAAAGTTTTGCTGATTATAAAGTTGGTACCAATCGATGTGGAAAGTATGTTATTTTGTTTTTTATTTTACTCCCTTTATTTTCATTACTATTGTTATATTCTCAGATACAAAATTGTGTTAAATTCTGATTCAAAAAACTTTGATGGTTTAAATCGTGTTGATAACAACCAATCATATTTTACACAAGATACAAAATGGGATGGAAGACGATATTCTTTACAGGTTTGTTCTCTTGATGGATAATTTTTCGACATTTTTTTTCATATTTTATTTCTAGGTTTATATTCCGTCTCGTGTTGCACTAGTGCTAGCTCTCGTACAATAGAACAATTAGCATAGAACAATTAGTCTATTATTTTTGTCGGTGCATTATACCCGTCTCATTTCATGTGTGATCGTTTTTTGTTAGAAATAATCGAGCATTTACATATGTCTGAACGTTTATCCGGTTTGCGTGGTGAAACAACCTTTTTCATCCGTGTTTTTTTCCGAAACCTTCACATATGTATATTTATTCATGTTTATTGTTAACGTTTCTCTTCTTTTTTTTCTATTCGTGATATCAGACAGTTGTATTTTAAATATTTTTAAAAATCCAACATAGAATTTGTTTTTTGTCTGTTAGTTTTTTTCGGTCATAGTTTTTTTAAAGTATGTTAAATGAACAGAAATATGATGAATCAAAAATTTTTTTATGGATTTTATCTGAATTTATTGAAAGAAGCATCCGCATAGATCATATCGTTCAGTGTACGATGTATTTCTATTATACAAATCATGCGTGTTTGACTTTTCGTTGTGATGATCAATGAAAAACGTTTCATATGATAAATCTAAGAGCATATTGAGACATTGAGGCATTTTTGTAAGAATAATAGCATTAACATAACGATTTCAACTCATCCTTTTCTATTGCTTTCCAAATGATGTTAATATGAAAGAAATTCTGAAATGTTCATTAGAAATTTAAAACAAGCCGTCCTGAGAAAAAGAAAAATTGTGCCAAGCAATTTATAGTTCATACGAACATTGCATAGCAGCAGAAGAAGTAAGCATTGTTTCATATCTGTTTCTTAGAAATGTTCAACATTGTACTAAATATGGTCTAGTTTTCAAACAAGAGCTGTTATTTTGCCTAATGAGTTTTTGTTTTATCTCATTTTCTTTTATCGATCACAATACGAATTTCTCCAGAATTACCGAGATTACTAATTTTGTAATGTGAAATGAAAACAAAGAAAATAGTTTTTAAGGCTAATTTTGCATATCCCATACCTTAAATACACTTCCACCTATCTGCTAGCTGCAGCTATGTTAGTATCAGAGAGCAGCAGATTTTGTAGAATGATCGGGCCAGGCCGAGCTCGGACCGAAAAGTATTTTCATCGGGTCGGGCCCACATCAGGTGCATCCAGGCGAACATTAAGTGAAAAAATGAAAATAGACTTTTCAACGATTCAGATAGTGCTATATATACTTCAAGTGATGCTCTATCTAATGGCACAAAAAAATCAGCTATTCCAAACTTAGCCTGAAAAGAACGTCCTCGACAAAAAATCAATTTTACACAGAAAATGAACAATCTGGTAAGAAAATGCATTGTAAATTCTGAATCTCCGCATCGTTTAGTATATATAACTAAACAAAATTCTTAATTTGAGATGGAGTTTGTTGATAAAAGAAAAAAGTTTTTCCTAAGTGGTTTTCCGAACGGCTATTTTCAGTAAAATGGATACGCCCTCCACAGCGCTCATCCAAACTTTTGCAGAATGTTCTCTTATATGCCTTGCATCTATGGTGAATGCTTAAATATTCCTGGATCGTACGGTAGATTTTCCAAAAACTCTAGATTTTCCAGATATTTTCCATTTGTCTCGGTCTACAAATGGTTTTATTCAATAAAAATGACATATTTAGAATCAGCACAAGAAACTGCATCGAATGATGTGCGATTAGTAGATTTTTCTGCGCAAAAACTTGTTGAATCTAACGAAACGCTAAAGTCGCAGCATAACGTGACAATTTTGGCTAATTATTTTGATATTTGGTATAGAAGCAGTCCGAAAGTCTATAAACGCTTTTTTATAGGCTTTTAGATATGCTCTTTTCAAGGATAAGCTTTATAAGGTTCCAGAGTACTTATGTGTGGGTTTTTTAGAGACCTGGCCTCTGGAAAATCAAGATAAAAGTCTCTTTGAACTTTGTACAGCACATCATTGAAAAGAGCATATCTAAAAGCCTATAAAAAAGCGTTTATAGACTTTCGGACTGCGTCTATAGCAAATGTACCGCCTGGTCTATGGGAAAATGCACACTGTAGGGTCGGGCCGGATCAAGGATTTCTTTTGGATAACATAAGAGACGAAGAAGGCCATTTTATCAAGGAAATTCTCAAGGGTGGCCGGGCCGGGCCAGATAAACTCAATCTCGATCGGTCCGAAAACTTCGTTCATCGGACCGAGCCGGGTTTGAAATTTTCGGCCCGCGCGGACTCTGGTTAGTACAACGGCAGTGATTCACTAGTAGTCTATACTTTGAATTGTTCGATGGAATTTTTCATTATTTCTTTTATCATTTGATTATTTAAATTACAAATATAGACAAAAAAATGAATGAAAAAACAAAACACAATAGAAAACAACGATTGAGGTACAAGAAGATAATACAGAGAGATAAAGAATAGGGAAAATAGACTTGTCCAAAAAGAACGAACAAAAAATAAAATGTATTAAGAAAACACATAGACAGAGAGAATAGGTGTCAAAGATATTAATAGAAAAACAATTTTTTATTTGAAAAAAAAAAGTCAATTTAACATTATACTGTTCAACAAGAAAGAAAACAACAACAACCATAATTAATCAATAATTCGAAATTTTACTTGATGATGTTAAATGTCTTTGAACACACAGATACTAAAAAACACGATAATAATGAAATAATAATGAAATGTTAAGAAAATTTTTCTGCACTGATCATTTTACTGACTAAAAATAACAAAAGAGAAGAAAATCTATTGTCAAATACATGAAAACAAACAGAAAAGAAAAGAAAACAAACAACACAACACATTTGATTGGAATAATCAATCATGTTTTTCTTGTCACAAGCTACTAGTACAAGTTACAACATTTGTCAATGAATAATACATATAAATAATAGTTACATTAGATGTTTAACACTTTTAATTTATATCGTATGCTAGAGTTAAGACATGGTCTACTCTTCGTATAATAAAATGTGTTAGCTTGATGTTACAAATATTTCGGTTTCTATCTGAACATTTAAAAGAAAACTTAAAGAAATAGTTATTTCTCAAATCAAAGCATTTTTTTTTCTTAATAGCTGTAGTCTACAGTAAAACACGATAAAAAGGAAATATCGTATGAATACACAAATAAAATTGTATTTTCTTTTTTTTGTCAATTCCCTGATAAGTTTGAGGTACATGAAAAACAAAAATAAAATACAACATATTCGAAGAAAAAATGCAATTATTTCATGATAGATAATTGGCAAGTTATATATAAATATGTATTTCATTCTTTTAGAATTTTTAAGAAAAAAATCAAAAAAAAATAAGAAATACCTGAAGAGTATTACACATGTTCAGCAAAAAATAGAAAATCACATAAAGCTGTTCGTATGCGTGCATACATACATTTATATATATATATATATATATATATGCTTTTGTTTGAGTTGAGATTCTCGATCGAGTCCGCCATTTTATGTTAGGTACTTAAACTTTTAACTATCTGTCCTCTATAAACGTTTTAAAAAACAAATGAATTCACTTTCGTTATGAAAAAAAAAGAACATAAACTCTTTTTAGACTTAAGGTGTTAGACATCTAAATAGAAGCTTAAACAAATAGAAAATTTTTTTAAAAATATTTGAAAACAATAAAATTGCTATCCATCTTTTAGTATTTACAGGAAAATTGCTGAAAAGACGTCCTTCACATCACAATAAAAAAAACAGCTTAAAAGAGGTATTCGGACGGTATTAGATATATATATATATACGTTTTCTGGAGGTGCTCAGTATTCACTCTGCTAGGCAGTATATAACTTTTGCTTTTTTTTGGCACCTCAATGTAGGGAAACTAGTTTCTTCATTTTTTAAATTGGTTCTCTCTTTTTGTATCAGGATATTACAGCGCGCTTTTCAAAGAAAAACAAATAAACGGGCTGCACAGCAGCTAAGCCATGGTAGAGAAAGAAAAATGCTTAGTTTACTGGAAAAGATGAAAAGAAATGTTTAAAACAAAAACAGTTTAATAATTGAATAAATTCTTAATTTTTTTTAGATAAAATTTGTACGATTGGTATGAATATATGAGCAGATTCGTTTTTTTTTAAAAATCCCTGAATTTGAATGACCAGACATGAGATCATGGCCAAAGAGTAACACGTAAAGAAAAAGAAAAACATTTCATTATATAAATAGATACATTTTCTCTCACTACCTTTTCAAATTGAAAATGTTGATAATGAGGATGGTGTACTCGATGGTCGAGTAGGATGAAATAATGACGTTGCTGTTGTTATTGATGATGCATTTAAATGTTGTGTTGTAATTGTTTCGGGAGAACTTGAATTTGATGAAAATTCTAATGGTGATAAATCATCTGATGGATTATGACTATTTGAACGTTGTACAATTATTCCCGATGATAACTTATTTTCTTCTAAAATATCATTGTCATCATCTTCATTACTATCATTATTTGATAGTGATTGTTGGTGATGTTGATGATCATCATCCATTGGTTCTATTTCGGGTTCTGGAGAACCATTTTCCGATGATGGACATGGTTTTTGCAACATTCGTCTTAATATTGTACGTGCATTTATTATGCCAATGTTTTTATTATTTAATAAAAGGTTTTCTAATCTGAGATGATTTTCATTCGTATTGTTTAATGCTAATTTATTTGTTAAAACATCTGACAATGAATTAGATTTCGTATTATTATTTTCGTGTTGTTGTTGTTTACAATATGCTAAAAGATCTAGAACAGATAAGGGCGAGTTAGTCTTATTTTGTAAATCTTTATAATTTCTTTCATCCAATAAATCATCATTTTGAACATCATCATCTTCTGATGTTTCATCCTTTTGTTTTTGTGAATCTTTTGAATCCATTTCAATCAATGTTCGATCTTCTTCGTCATCATCCGCAATTGCTGTTGATATTGTCACTAGAGCAGTAGATTTATTTTCTTCAATTATTTTTGTTTCTGTTCTAATACTGGTACTATTATTGATATCTTTTAATCGCTCTTCATCTAACATTTTATAAAATTTTGAACGTTTTTTCGGTGGCATTTTTCTTATACGATCCATTAATTCATCAACATAGCCTCCTGCTAATAATTTTCTTTCATCATCATATGTTTTAATACCGTTTGCACTTGTTATTGTTGATAAAGTTGCTATTCCATTTTCGTCTTCAGCTTGTTCCATTGTTGTTGATAATGTTTTATAATGATGTGAGATTGATGAAGATGTGTCAGATGTTATTGACGATCCAGAAGTGGATCGCGTTGTCGGAGACTGTCGTCCATTATGATTCAAATGGGACGAAGATTCGTAACCACTTGAACAATTACTAGTACTGGAATCTTTTCTTGGTGGTGATTCTTCTGTTTCATTCAGATCAACTTCTTCATCACTGGCACCACCGTGACTGGTTGTTGATGAAAAACCTGATGAACGTCGTCGATAGTTGTTGTACGCAGTTAAAGTTTCATTCAAATTTTCTAATGATGATTTATTTTGAAATGATGTTGGTAGAAGAACATTAGTGTTTGTTGATGGATTATGTCGAACAAAACATGGTATCAAATTTGACGCTGGATTTGGATAGGATGAACGAATTAATTTATAACCGTAACCATGTTCAGCTGTATTATAATTTCCATTATTATTAGTATTGGGAGTTGGCAACATTTTTAATGTTTCCGGATTTAAATACATCTTACCTGTTCGATTAATATAGTTTTGAAGTTCATTAATAGCACTTGTGTGATGTTGTTGTGGTTGTTGTTGTGTTTGACTGAGATTTGCTGCAGTAACGGCTGCATGCCAAAATTTTGAATGTACCAAAAATCTTTCTTGATCTGACTGCGAGAATGATGAATTATTTTCTCGTGATTGTGTTTTAATATCGCGGTTATGAGTAGAATAAGTGTCATGTTCGACAGGTGATATAGATGATTCTCGCGTAGAAGATGAACGATTTAATAATGTTGATAAACGTGCACTTTCGTTTAAATTTGGTGAACTAGTTCTTTTTTGTAAACACTCAATATCTGATATTTGACCATTTTTTATTGACGTATTTATTCGAGATGTAAATAATGGTGGACGTATAAATCCATGAGTCGAATGATTATTGTTGTTATTATTATTATATGGTGGAGATGGTGTAGAAGAAGAATAATTATTAGTTATTCGTGCATTTCTTTGATCAAACGAATGCGCATTATTTTGGTAATAACTGTTAGATGAGAAAAATGGATGTGACGATAATGATGTAGACTTTAAACGAGGAGATGAATTTAGAGGTGAACGATGTGACGATGACGACGAGGGTGATTCATTTATTTTAGTCGATCCTCTATTGTTATGTGTATTCTGTTGTCCATTTGTGAATGATGTTGGTGAGGATGTAGGTGGTAATTTATAAGATAAAAGCCAATCAGAATGCTGTTGTAGATTATCTTGTTTAAAACGATCTCGAATAGGCACTTTTTTAGGTATAGGTAATCCATTTTCAAAACAAAATGGTAAACCGCTGGTGTTATCAATATTATTTCCTGATGATTTAGTGTCAATATAAATATGATTCGATTGTTGTCTGTTCGTTGTTCCCGGATTTGCTACTAATTTTTGTTGTTGCTGTTTTAAACTTGCATTGATCATTGCTGCTTGAGTTGCTGATGCATATCCATGATACGGTTGTAAATGTGAAGATGAATCTGAAAAACTTGACATTGCTGATGCAGCCGCGGCTGCTAGCGTTAATTGATTTAATGATGATGAACTTTTAGCATTATTATTTGAATGATTTTGCTCCGGCGATAATTGATGAATATAATCTGATGTTAACCGTATCGATTTTGTTGATGGATAATTAGACATGTTTAATAATGGTTGATGTCGTTCGTCTTGATTATTAGTCGACGATGATTCACATGCCAAGGATGATGATAACAAATGTTCAGTGGATGAAGATAAACAGGCAGCGGCAGCTGCACGTTTTCGTTTCAAACTATATTTTTTATACGGTGAATTGTTTTTAAACGATGGATTTATTGTCCAGACATATTTTACTGGACCTTTTGATAATGAACTAACAACAGGTACTCTTATGAATTGATTATGCAATGACAGATTGTGACGTATTGAATTCTACATAAAAAAGAAAAAGAAAATCTTGTAATTAGTTCTATATTACTAATCATACAGAGTACTTCGAGAATCAGTGATTCTGAATTACTTCACTTTAAATTTGAATATATCCGCCATTACCTAGTCAAATTAGTTTTTAATGTTCGAAACTTATTCAAGCACTATGGCATTTTTTTAAATTCATAATTTTTTCAAAAATTCAGACTGAATATTTCTAATGAAATGTTCATTTTTATCTTCTAAAAAACTCTTTAGTCGTCATCAGAATATATCCATTTTGTAGAACTGACAAAAATTTTGTTAAAAAATGACATTAAAAATAAGTAGTTTGATCATTTCGAATACAGGTCTCTCTTACAACGACGACAACTACGGTGAAGGTTTACAATATAATTATTAAACTTGAAGTTTTGATTTGAACAAGAAGAATATCAATGTAATAAAGAAGATTAGTTATCAGACATTAGTCAATGTTTAGGCAGCATTTTGTGAGATATAGTTTTTCAGCACTTTTAAAAGCTTTTTGGTAAATGTCTGATGTTTTTTTGACTTAATAAAGCGAGTAAATCCACACTGTATATACAGTTTGTTTCATTAAATGCTTTTTAAAATCAAATGTGGACATATTTTCCTATTGAATTAAAAAATAATGAGCTAAATCGGTTGAGAAATAACTGAAATATTCAAACCTTTTTATCCAGTAGTGCCTTTCAAAAACATCCTGTATCCTCAAATCACTTTAAGTATGCTTTATCATATGGGGATATTATCTAAGAAAATATTCTTAACACACTCACTTTCCATCCCCAACTCGATTTTGGATCAATTTTATCTTTAAAATATGGTACAAATTTAATAATCCATTCGTATATTTCATTCAATGTTAGTCTTTTCCATGGACTACTTTCAATAGCTCGTGTTATCAATTGTGCATATGATAAATTACCCCATGGATTACGATATGTTTTATTAATACCAATGCCTAATTCTTGAACAATGGATTTACCCAGACGTTTATCATATTCTTGTATAATATCACGTCGTTCTTTTCGATGCCGTGGCCAAGTACTATATCTGATACGATCTCGATGATAATTATTTAGTCCGTTTGATGATAGATCAACTAATGATCCACTTTCTCGTCGGTCATTTACTTTCGGATTATTGTACGATGAACATGTTAAAGATGAACTTGGTGATGGTGAACGTTCATCAGAATAATGAGAAGTATCGTCTTCATTATACGCTCGACGTGAGCGGTGTTGTGGCTGCATTCGTCATATAAATATATGGAAAACAGAATAAATCTCTATCTAAAAAAAATAATAGAACAGAAATGTATATAATTTTGAATATCTTAAACTGAAATCTTAAATTCAGTATACAACCTCCTATTTATCTCACCTGTATATCTATGTACCCATTTTTTGAAAAGAAAAAACACATGTAAAACCTTACTTTCTAATTAATGATAGGCAGAAATGATTATATCTCATTGAGAAACCATCCATCACGTACTATAAATTTACTCAGTGGAATTTGTAGCAGTTCGTGAAGACGTTTTTCTTATTGTATTTGTCAGACAATTTTTCACTCACTGAAATCTCGTAGAAGATTTAAAAAATAATCATACGGCATAAAATAGTGACGGGTAAACATTGCCGCCCAACATTCTCGCTTTTTTTTTTCCCCGACAAATCAGCAGATTGTGCACACGTAGAGAAACAATACACTCTCATCTGTAAATATTACATAATTTATCACAGGCAACAAAAAAATACAGTGTAATGGAGAAAGACAAAAAAGTAAAAGAAAGAGAACTGACTTATGGAGCAGCTATATGTTAAAAATAGTGTACTCGTTTTTTGGAAAAAAATAGTCGGGGTCATATTTTCTTCCATATACATCTGGACTTTTGCAGAAGAAAAAAAAAATGTTTATAAAAAAAGAAATCTTGTATTGAACTATAATGATGTATTTTCAATGAAAAAAAAAATATTTTACTATAAACTAATGCCGATGTAATCATACAAAAAAAAAAAGAGAAAAATGGAAACAAAAAAAAAAAAATCGAACTGGCTATGTATGTCGCAAAGCAAGAAAAAGAGAAAGTTTGTAAAAAACAATTGACCTCAAATGAAGAAAGTCGAGTTTTCTTTTTTCTATCTTTAAAAAAATGACCCGCTTTTTTTCGCGTTAACGTCGAAAACATGCCAAACGTTCTCGATTATTTTATTTTTATGTATATATCAAAGCACACAGGAGACGCTTCTTTTTAGATGGTGGAACTGTACTGCTACTTGTTAACCGCAAAATTGTACGATTTTTTTTTCATGTATAAAAAGAACAACAAAAAAAAAAAAAAAAAATTTTTTTGGATGGAAGAAGAAAAGAAAAAAAAGGCAAATGTGAAGAACAGAAAAGATGAGTGTATATATAAATATACATTCTAACATTATTTTTGTCATAACCGTACTTATTTTTCTTTCATCCATTAAATATGAAAAACTCTTAGTTGTATTAGAACACACATCACACAAATATTGATGAGACAAATAATATTGGCATGGTGTCACAGAAACATGAGTTTGACTAACTCAAAAAAAAAAAAAAAAAGAAATAATAATAATAAAATAGAAAGATAAAAATGATAGAGGCTATTTAACTATTTTACAAGTAACAGTTGTTGTTATTGTCTTAGAATGAATGTGTCAAACGAACAACATCTTCTTGTTCTTTGCAAGTGAAATAATAAAGACTTTTGATGGTTCAAATGTCTATAAATCTCGTATTTGACAGATTTTCTGTTAGACAATTAGTATTTATATGAAAAGTCATCATAAAATTTTTGTCAAAAAATACTGTTTTTAAATTTTACTACAATTTTACCTTTATCATCATAGTCTCAGATGTGAGAGAAAATATTAAAAAGATATTATCAAAATTTTTGATAAATTAGAATGTTCGATACTATTAGAGTTCTTTAAACTAGAAGCCCTTTTCTACTATTTCTTTTGTTTACCATAGTTTATAATAGTTTGCAAAGTATTACTGCTTGTTTTATCATTAAAAATATACGTTCCGGTTTATTAATATAAAATAGCAATTATTATACACACGCAAAAGTAAAGATGAGAAGAGAAAAAAAAACAATAAACAAGAAAATACGTAATATTTGAATAAATATTATTTTTTTCCTCAACTTTTTTTTTGTTTTTCTTTGCTCGTATACAAATATGGAATATTAACGGCTAAATATTATTTATTTTATTTTATGATATTATTATTGATTATATCTTTTTAAACTTCGTTAATTGTCTAAAAAATATATTCTAAAATTTGAGACGGATAAAAAAAACAATATGTCTATGTAATGTATGCATATACAGTAGTATAAACAATTATTCTTTTGATTTTTTTAACAAAAATTTATATCACAATATAAGTGTTTTTTTTTCCTTCATTCTTCATCAAAAAAAAACAAAAAAAGAAGAGAAATAAAAATAAAAAAAATAAAATAAAAACAAAAGTAGACTAGACGTACACACATCGCAATATATATCCTTTTCTATATCGTAAACATGTATCGATTTTAATCGTATGTAATGGTATGAAAATCCGTTATTCTATATAAAAAGGTTGGATACACCATTTTGAATTCACTTACGATAATATGTATAATAATAAGACATAGCAGAAAAAAGCGAGAGAGAATAAGGAAATCATCATTAAAAAACGATGAATGTTAAAAATGAGTAATATGCCACTTAAGACAAAAACAAGATATTACTGTGTCTATTAGTCAAAGGAGAATGATGTCATATGAATTCTATTTTATTCAACCAAAAACAAAAAAAAAAGTGAAGCCTTGTATAGAGCAAAGACAATAGTTTTTTGAACAAATTAACTTTTTGCAAAATTTACTTTGTAGTTGACGGTAACTGTATCATTCTGAGATAAATTCGAATTGGAAAAGACTAATTTCAAAAATATCTCATACATTTGGTTGAAAATAAAACATTCTACGGCAGATTATTCTCAAGAAAGATCGATGAGAGAGTCTCTTATAGTAATTACAAATAGTGCTTAGAATAAATTTTTCAATTATTATTGTTAAAATCTGGTATTATAAATGTGAGTGGAGGAAGTTCATGTAACTATGGTATTTACTTAAAGAACCTGAAAATTTGATCTAGTTAAGTATAGAGGTGAAAAAACATATAGTAGAAAAGAAGAATCAAACAGCTTATTATCACTTATTATCATATAAATAGACAAACACACAATACATACGTTCTTCTTCTTTTTTTCTTATGAATAAACGTCTTAATGAATTAAGATTTATGTAGATATTTTTTTCTTATTTCTAGATGTTTGGTTTGTATTGAAAGGGCAATAATATAGACGTATGCTTAAATACACAAGGTTTTTTCAGCATTGCTATTGTCACATTATCTTTGTAATTCATTTTTCCTTCTTCTTCTTCTTCTTCTTCTTTAGCAATATATCAGCGTGTGTATGCACAAATCTGTTACTGTATTATTATTTACTACAATCTACATAGAGAACAAGGTTGTAAATATTACGTAACTCATCGCTCTTCTTTCTTTCTTTTCTTTATTGACATAATATTGTTGTTATAGATATGAAATATATTTTTATTCAAACATCAACTATAACCAACTTTTTTTTTTACCTATATTTTTTTGTTTCTATAGTAAAACAGAAAGAAAATATTTGAATCATGTTCATATAAATATATACGTAACAGAGAATTAAAATTAAATGGCTTCGCCTATGCTATACGTATAGAAAACAGTTGATTAATTTTTTGACGCAAATGTAATCCTATAAAAATAAAAAATTTTATTTTAGTTTTGTTCAATATCTTCTGAATTTTTATTAATAGAAAATTAGAACTATTGAAGATAAAATTTGTTTCTCAATATTCAACTTCCTTTATGTAATTATAGATTACAACAGGAAGAATCAAGAACAAGTTTTTAAAGTGAGCTCCTATCATATATACGTACTAATTATATCGTAGCACTTTATACAATAGATTTACAATCTTTTCGTTTGAACTGTATAATAATGATTCATCTGAATATGACCAGAAAAAATAGAATATTTCATAGGACATAAATGTATTCAATTTATCTTAAAATAATACTGTCTAAAAAAAAGTAGAATCAAATTTTTCTTTAATATTTACATAAGATATGAATCAGTTCAACAACAGAAGGTTACCGATTCACTGCAAAATCTAGACAAAATTTATAGAAGAAAAATTTTCAGCAAAATCTACACAAATCTGTTAAAGACTGTTGAAAGATTCTGTAGAGATTATTTGTAGAATTTGAGAATAGAACGTGTAGTTTATCTACAAAATGTTTTAAGAGATATGTCAATATTCTAGAGCAATCTGTGGCAGATCTGTGCGAATTTTACACAGATTCTGATAGAATTTTGATGCAAATTGTATCTGCATTCTGAACACATTCATTAATTACAAAATTTGTCGCAGACGTTTGCAGGCAATTTTTAACTAGGAAGCAGAATGACTTTTTCATATAAATTAGAAATTATTAAAGAAAAGAAAACGAAAACTCTAATGCAGAAAATCAGGCCTACGCTAAAAAACAAAAAACAAATAGAGTCAGAAAACGTCTACATTTTTTCTTTCTGAATGAAGCAAAAGGGGCATCTCGAAAAGGTTAAGGTCATCTAGAACGGTCCGAACGAATATGACTTTTCTTATAAAGCCTAAAAGCTTACTTTTATATTCTCATGTTACATCATACAGCACTATCTAGAGATACAGTAGCTGAAGTAATCCATAACAGAAAGCTTCAATGTGACGAATGGTGACTCAGTGGCTCAGTTAGAATGTATTAACGCATATGATCGTGGCTCTGAGCTCTGATCTCGGTCGATTTATGTCATTTTTTTTTACTACTTATCTTAGACGAACTCATTCAAAAACAATAACGTTTAATCTACGTCTTTCCACTCAATTCAGCAATAAGAAAAAGTTTAACTATTTACTACAAAATATTATTTTATCAAAATCACATCGCGAAACAAATTAAATTTTTACAATCAAAGGCAGAAACTTCCGCATTTTAAATCAAACCGTATAACCATTGATTCATGACATAAACAAAACACATACACTTTCAGGGTGGGTCTTTTTTCCACCAAAAATAGAAAGTAATTTACAATATACGCAGAACTGTCATAAACAAGTCACACTAACATAACAAAAGAATAG